TAATATAATGAATAGTGCTTTTTGTTCTGTTATTTTTCACTAATAAGATAAACTACATAGTTATCAATGTGTAAAAAGTTTTTTTTTTGTAAGTATCTTTAATTGATTATATACTAATTGCAGAAATATTTACTTGATAGCTATGAATTCTGTATTACATGTATTATAAAGACCGCAATTTCATTATTTTATCGTATTCTGTAAATAAATAATATTGTTACATTCGGTATTATATGTAATTTTATGTTAAGGGCATTATTAATTTTACTATATACTGTAATTATGTATATACAGTAGAGCCTCGATTATCCAGACCTCGGTTATACGGATTCGCAATTATCCAGACTCAAATTCATATGTATTTACATATCTACAATTCAAATTTTATCATAATTAATGCTGGAATTTAGTACATGTATGTAATGTAATCGAAGAAAATATGTATGTACAAACATAGGGAAGTGTCAATTTAATAATAAACATTGATTTTTTTTATATCTATGTATGTAATTGTTAATTTTAATAAATACACAACATTATTCTTCATACATTCGATTATACGGATTTTTGATTATCCGAATGCCCATCGACAACAATTAGTCCGGTTAATCGAGGTTTTACTGTAAATTTTTTTCTTTAATCTACAGTCGCAAACCATACGAATGAAGGTTATTTCTAGAATTTCTAGAACATCAATTTTATGACTACTTATCTCTTTGGTCTTGGTTTATTTTAGAGATTTTTACTGTACCTGATGGTCAGATGGGTAGTTCAGATTCAAGACGTCAAAGAGTGCGATTTACCAATAGACCAGTTTGCCAATTCAAAAGTGCAAAGGAAATAAAAATTCATAAGAACCATCTTAAACTACATTACCAGTGCTAGCAAATCAACAAGCAAGGGATATGATACAAAACTATTACGAAACCATTAGAAACGCTTTTTTAAAAAGCCAACAACTTGCACATACCAAAGCAAGTAAGCAAAAACACAAAATATTACAAGAGAAAACAGTAGAACTGCTACAAAAAAGAAAAACACTACAATCAACTAAGAACAAAACGCGTGCTATGAAAAACAAACTCTCTATAACAAATAATCAATAAATATATAAAAAGTGACTACTCAAAATACAGACAAGACATTATAATAAGCCAACTACAGCTTTCTGGTAGCACGAAGAAACCATTTAAAGCACTTCGTACAAATAATTGCTGGATAAAAGAATTAAAAGACCTGAACAAATCTATACACAAACAAAAAGACATTGTAACTACGGCTACAGAGTTTTATACTAATCTGTACTGTGACAATACTAACACTATAACAACATCACATTATCATATAAAGAATGCCAAACTGATGACTTCATAGAGATCAGCAAATCCGAAGTGGTAGAAACTATAAAGAAACTAAAAAAAGAAAAATGTCCAGGTCCCGACAACATCTCAAATAAAGCTCTAATAAATGCTCACCTAATGTAGGCTACACCGTTAGCAAACCTGTTCAACCTAATATTTCAGCACTCTATAACGCCATTTCAGTGGTCCGAAGCAAACATCATACTAATATATAAAAAAAGAGATCCCAAAAATATTGGCAACTATAGACCTATTAGCCTACTGCCTAGCCTGTACAAACTATTCTCTACAATTATTAACAAAAGAATAAGTACAACACTAGAAGGGAAACAGCCCGTGGAACAAGCAAGTTTCAGGAAAGATTCAGACTACATTCATACAATAGAGCTAATTATAGAAAAATATCAGGAGCAACAGAAAACATTATATTTAACTTTCATAGACTACCAGAAAGCTTTTGACTCCGTTTCACATAACAGCACTTTAAGGAAAGCTTGCTAGAGCAAGGAGTTGAAGAAATATACATAAAGACCATACAAAGTATATACAATAACATCAAAGAAAGAATCAAACTAGAGTCTATCAGTCCAAGTTTTCCCATAAGAAGAGGCGTAAGGCAGGGGGATCATCTCTCTCCAATAATATTTATTTTAATCCTAGAGAACATTATTGGAAAGCTGGATTGGCGTGAATTAGGCATCTATATAAAAGGCAAACATCTAAGTCATCTTAGATTTGTGGACGATATTGTGCTTTTGTCAGAAACGGCCGGTCAAATGAAATTCATGTTAGAGTCTTTAGAATTTAACCAAAACAAAAATATTAACAAACAACAGACAAAAATTTCCAATACTAATCAACAACAAACCAATTGATTATGTCGATAATTACATATACTTGGTAAAACTATTAAGTTTTGACAAAAATAATGACAAATATGAAGAAGAAAAAAGGATACAAAAAACTTGGAGAATATATTGGAAATTAAAAGAAATATTCAAAAGCAATATGCCGATAGATATCAAAACGAAAGTGTAGAACTCTTGCCTTCTACCATACCTTACCTATGGCTGCCAGACGTGGCAACTTTTATTCAAAACCATAAAAAAATTAAAAAACTGTCAAAGGGGCCTAGAGAGGAGCATGTTGCATATCAGAAAGTTAGATAAAATCAGACATACCAAGATAAGAAGAATCACAAAAGCAACCGACGCTGTAACTTATGCATTAAAACAAAAATGAAGATGGGCCAGAAACGTTGTGAGATGCACAGATAAAAGATGGTCAAAGAGAGTAACATCGTGGAATGGTCCAACGGGTGAGAGAAATCATAGAAGACCACTAACCCAGATGGAAAGACAACCTGAGAAGTACAGCTGGCACGATCTGGAGAGATATAGCACAAGATAGAGAAGCATGGGATTTGTGGAGGAGGCCTATACCCAACCCGGGGTTCTTGCCGACTAACTCTATACATCAGGTACCGAGTTTACATTACATATTACAATCATGTTATGTATATACAGGCTTATGTTAACTAGTGTAACCATGTATAAAATTTGTAAAAAGGCAAGAAATAAAAGGCTCATTTATTTATTTATACCTCTTTGGTCCATTTATGTTTTCTAAGAGAGCAACCGACTTGGCTCAAAAACTTGAGAAGCCTGATGATGAAGCCACTTCATCCCTTTCTGATATTTGGTAAAATATTTGCCAACCACTATTCTCATAAAGCGGTTCCCACGTCAATATCACACTAATAAATAAAATAATAAATATAACATACAATAGAACAATTATGTGGTAATAAAAAATATATAACCTTGTAAATCCCTTTACATTCATAAAGGTACTCTTCGACATGTGACTTTTCAGATTGTGTGAATGTCATATTGCATATATTGCGTTTACGTTCGGGACAAGATTCTGATTTACCACTAACGTCAAATTCATCCTCAATTTTGATTGCTTAATCATTTATATAGACATAAATGTTTCTTCTATCTACTTTAATCAACGATTTCTTTCAATATGATAAACGGTTTCAATTTCAACTGAATGCGCATTTATTATTTGACATTTGAAGCATAGAGTACATTTTTAGAAAGATGAGACCGGTATCAATTCGCTTTGATTTGATTTGAACAGAGAGGCGCGACTTTTCAAATTCATTATGGCCCTCTGCGTCTCAACTGTTAACTAAATATTTTAATAATCAATTTTAAAACAACTAATAATAGGTAAAATAGGCATTTTACCTTAAGACAAGCTGCAAAAACTTTCTGATAGTTTTAAAAATAGATAGATAGACAACACAACAATTTTCACATTAAACACAATAGAAAGAAGAATTTCAGAGAAAATGTTATATGGAGTGCTCGCAAAATATATTTTATATAACGAATTGCCAAACGATATTAAGATGACCAATGATGACGATAAATTTAAAAGAAAAATAAAGAAATACTATAAGGAAATTGAAGACAAAGAGGACTGAAGAGTTATATATAAAGATATTATATTAATGAAATAGATATTATAGTCAAATGAAATGTATATATTATATGAAAACTGTTCTTCATAATCTCTCATACCAGGCAACTCTGCCTGACTGAGATATAAAAACAATGTTTATATATATATATATATATATATATATATATATATAAATAAAAAAAATTGACTTAAGGGGGTATTCAAGCGTATTTTTTGTCGAAGTAAACTTCTTTAGAGGGGCGACTAGGGTGTAAATCGTGTAAAATACTGTAAAATGCAACAGAAAAATCGTTAGGTCGAGTCGAGTTCCAATGATTCGTCATTTGCCTGATGATTCACTTACTTTTATACGGGTCGATTGTGATTGGTCGTCGTGTTACTTGAGTCTGATTGTTTTGATTGTATAGTGAAAACTAGTGGGATGTATGGCATCGTGCTTTAAGGCAAATTGCTGGAACTTCCCGTACCGTAACGAAATGTTCGAGAAATACTGAATGTTTTCAAATAGATTATTATCAATATAGTAACATTGTCTAATATTTAAAAATTATATAAACTGAATTGCAAAGTTGAAATTATTTGTTTAAGGTATCTTAGAACTACAATCAGAATTAAAATCAAATCTGAATTATTTTGAATATACAAGAAAAAATTTTTTTGAAAAAAAATTTTGTTAAGACAAGCAGAAAGTTCTTTGAATCATTTAAATCGGACGCTTAGTTCTCTCTAAAACTGCCATTTTTTGCACATTTAGCTCCGTATCTTCGAAATGGCTGGGCCTGCCTTTGCCAAAAACTAATAAACACTTCTCCCAATTATAATTAATTGAATGTTTTTTAGATCATTCAAATCGGATGCTCCGTTCTCTCAAAAACTCGATTTCTTTTTTCTGCACTCTTTGCTTTTTATCTCCGTAACTGCTGGATCTGCCTTTGCCAAAAACTAATCAGCACATCTCCCTATCATTCATCGTTGATCCCGAAAACGTGACTGGAAAGCAATAAATAAGAAAACATTAATGAAAATACTACACAACATTAAAATAATAAAAAATGATGATATACAACAATATTATTATATTTATAATTAACATACATACATTTATTTATACATTTATAATTACATTATTGAACACCGTTGTCTCTGAAACAAATAACATTCTGATAATAATAATAAACAAATAATATTCTGATAATATATATAGAGTAAGTAAAAAGAATTACAAAGATGATCGGTTTCACCATTAATTTAAATTTTCTTTGTCAGTTTTCTTACACTATAATTTTTAAAGAAGTCTAGCTTGATCAAATTTCAATCTGAAAAGCATGTATCATTCCATATCCGTTCTATATTTGTTTCCCGTGAATGTTTTATTACATTCCACATATTTCCACATATATGAGGTTGTACTGCAGTATGGGTCATTTTATGTAGGTTCAATTATTGTTTCATTGTAAACATTTCATTGCACGTTTTACATTAATTATGACATCGTTTTCCACCCAATACTGAAATTCTTTTATTGCTTATTATTACATTTATGAACATTTAGCTTTTGTGACAACACTAATAAGTGTGTTACATAAAATGTACATCCAATGTATGTTTTGGAGCAAATTCATTGCATAAATCCCATTCAAATGTTTCAAGACGTTTGTTCTTCAGTGTGGGTTTTAACATGTAGCTTTAAATAGTGTTTTCTTGAAAATGTTTTGCCACACTTCTCACATTTGTAAAGATGTTCTCCAATATGAACAGATAAATGGTTTTTCAAAGTTATTGCCTGTGTAAATCTTTTATTGCATATTATGCATTCATAAGGACGTTCTCCAGTGTGAATCATCTTATGTCGATTTAAGCTTTGCTTTGTTGTGAATGCATTGTTGCATATTTCACAATTATAAGGACTTTCCCCAGTGTGAATCATCTTATGTTCGTTTAATGTTTGCTTTCTTGTAAATGTTTTATTGCGCATATCGCACTTATAAGGACGTTCTCCAGTGTGAATCATTTTATGTTGGTTTAATCTTTGCTTTGTTGCAAAAGTTGTATTGCATATTTCACAATTATAAGGACTTTCCCCAGTGTGAATCATTTTATCATTGTTGCATATTTCACAATTATAAGGACTTTCCCCAGTGTGAATCATCTATGTTCGTTTAATGTTTGCTTCTTGTAAATGTTTTATTGCGCATATCGCACTTATAAGGACGTTCTCCAGTGTGAATCATTTTATGTTGGTTTAATCTTTGCTTTGTTGCAAAAGTTGTATTGCATATTTCACAATTATAAGGACTTTCCCCAGTGTGAATCATTTTATGTTCGTTTAATGTTTTCTTTCTTGTAAATGTTTTATTGCACATATCACACTTATAAGGACGTTTCCCAGTGTGAATAATTTTATGTTCGTTTAATATTTTCTTTCTTGTAAATGTTTTACTGCACATATCACACTTATAAGGACGTTCTCCAGTGTGAATCATTTTATGTTGGTTTAATCTTTGCTTTGTTGCAAAAGTTCTATTGCATATTTCACAATTATAAGGACTATCCTTAGTGTGAATCATTTTATGTTCGTTTAATGTTTGCTTTCTTGTAAATGTTTTATTGCACATATCACACTTATAAGGAAGTTCTCCAGTGTGAATTATTTTATGTTGGTTTAAATTTTGCTTTGTTTTGTAAGTTTTATTGCATATTTCACATTCGTGGCGTTTCAAATTATTCATTGTTTTTCTTGGAACTCTTTCAAATGATTTGTTTGTCTTACCCTCTAAATTACTAGATTCACTGATTTCTTCATTATATATATAAGGCCTACCAGTTGTAATTGCTACGTTTTTACTTTTTGCATCTTGTTCATCGATAGCTTCTTGCTTTATTTCTTCCTCGATTGTTATCTCAGATTTTAAAAAACGTTGTAAACAAATTTTGTCGTTTTCCGGGTAATTATTATCGTAATCATCCAATTCTTGTTTCACTTGAGGATAATCTAAAGGTTCAATTTTAATTGTTGTGTTTGAATCAGTTTCTTCAGACATTTTCGACGGTTTCATATAATTTAGAATAGCTTAAATATGTCAAATAAATATGTAATTCAAAAGTTTTGAATTAACAATAAATATGTTTTAATTGTTTTCTTAAAATGCAAAATAATTCCAAATACTTTGACACTTCTCTATCATTCCCTGGCTTTAGCATCGGATCAAGTTCGACAACATTAAAAACATTAATACCAACTGCGACTTTTTGTTGGCGGCAAAATATAAATATATCAAATTACAATTTAGTTCTGAATAATTTCTATTTTAACTTACCGTTGGGTAAATTATAGTAAACGCAAAATAAAAAACAAAATGAATTTTTTTATATCTTTTGCATTTCAAAAGTTTTGTAACATTTTGGCATAATTCAGAAAAAAGTTATGTTATATTTATTTATTTATTTTTAAATATATAGCTCACAGATTTCTTTCAATTATTTTACATTATAGATAACAATTAACATATATATAAAATTACAATATATAGTAAAATTAATAAAGTGCTTAAGGGGTTAGGGGTATTTGGAATTTTTGAAAAATCTAGATTTTGCAATTTTAACTAGCTGCCCAGAAATTTCAGCAATTTGTTTTGCTGACCATTTATGTGCCTGGGGACCTTTTACAAATTTTTCAAAATTTTTTTCATCACTCCAAGACAGCAGTTGTGCATGTAGTCAATCGGGAACTGTGAAACCATGCCTATACCTGCTTCTTCGAATGGTGATTGGCTGACATGATGATCTTCATCAATACGATCAATAAAATTTTGATCAGTTCGTAACGCTGCGTCTACGTTTACAAATATCATTCTATGATCTTTGTAATCACCCTCTTCTCTACATTTTCCACATCCATAATATCCATTGTACAGTTTTGTACAGGTGACGAAAGACCTTGCTGGACTATCACAGATAATCGCTCTTATGACAACTTTAAAATTCCGGCTTTTGTAATTAAAACCTGTTGTATGTAAGTTTTTATACTCATTTAAAATTTTTTCCAAAAATACTTTGCAACTATGAGGTTTTTCATAGCCATGATATATTCCTATAACAAATGGCTGAGTAACTTTAGAATGAATCTGAGCAAGGATGGGATACAGTTGATTGGTAGAGCTTTTTGTGATTGGCAATCCATCTATATTTATATTGATGACAATAGAATTAGGAAGAGTAAGGTAATCAACAAGATTGATCTATTAATGATGTTTCTAGTCCATAATGATAATATTCACCAGGAGGAACTTTACGAGTTATTATAGGTGCTTCTGGTGTACCGAGCAATGTTCTAGGATCCAACGGTAGATTAACAATTTCCTCGTGCTTCGATGTTTTTAATATTTTTAGAAGTTTACCCGCTACATCACGTGAAATATTATAGTCAGTTATCCACTGACAGAGTTTTGTTGATAAATTTAAATTTACTGAAGCATGATCTGTTGAGTCATCACCGATTGAAACGTCTTGAACATCCAAATTTTCATCAAAAGTACTATCATCACTGATATCACTGATTTCATTATTATCAATGAGATTACTAATTTCACTGTTATCAATATTGTCTGAAATACTACATGTAGCTTATATTACTATTATCCATCACATTTTTATTATTAGCAGAGTCAGAATTAGATTCACTATTATTTTCACAAGTTTCACTAGTAGATGCATTTGATAAATTTTCAATTTGAAATTGGCGTAAGCGTTTATTTTTTTGACTTTTTGATAATTCTTGAAATATTTTCTTTTTCGGCATTGTTGCGAATGATGTATTTATTATTTACTTTATATACTGACACTGAAAGTTGAATTATTTTAGGTTACAGTAAACATAATAAACACATATTCAAGTATTGGTAATCACATTGGAAAGTTATCTTTTTGATGTCATAAAGATACCTACACAAGTCCTCAAAAAGTTATCATTTAGTTAACATTGACATCGCTTTGAAATGACATCAGCAAAAAGTTATCGGAAAGATAACATTTTACTGAGCTCTAAAAGTCAACATGTTTCGGATAACATTATGTCATCTTTCTGACTTACTGAGCTCTAAAAGTCAACATGTTTCGGATAACATTATGTCATCTTTCTGACCTAATGCCGAACGGGCTATCTTTATTTTTTTGCATTTTCATTAAGTGTAATATCTTGAAAATATTCTCTAAAAATTTCAAGTTGATCCGATGTTTACTTTTTGAGTTATTGGACTCTTACCAGCGCGCTGACGCAAGTGGAGAGCTCGATACTTATACTCAAGATTATTCTCCCTCAGCTACTGATGTTTTAAAAGATATTAAATGGATTTACGACGATCTCAGCAATGATAATTTGCTTTCAAGATGTGCAGCTCAAGATTGAATCCATAATCAGAAAAAAATGAAATCTTCAACCAAATAGTGTGAAAAATATGCCCAAAACCGTGAATGTTGTCAAAACAAAATTCAAAAAAAGTTCTACTATCGTACAATTTGCTGAATACATATACATAATCAGTATTATTGATTATGGATACCCTAGGACCAACGAGAGCACATGGAGAGCACTCGGGAGGCCATAATGCTTCGTCGACAACAGCAAATGGAAATTTTGGAAACTTGCACAATGACTGATGAATTATTATATGGCCCAGAAATAGATGACTCGTTTTAAGTAATTCAATAATTCGAATTTCTGAACGTAAATCCAATGTGAAAGTTGGAACGCGAAAGTTTAAACGCGTTTTTCTCAAAACTATGTTTTTTGAATCGGTGACAACAGTAACTCAAAAACCGCTTAGTAAATTTTAATGAAATTTATCCAGCTTTAGAATACATAATAAACTAAGGCCTGATGGAAAGATTTTTATTTTTTTTTTAAATTTCAATTTTTTATGATCAATTAACTGTTGATTTTTTACCCAAAAATCTAGAAAAAAATTCTGATGCTGCCATTTTGTTCATTTTTGCAAAAAAAAGAAAATCTTTGATCAGGCCCAGGATTAGCTATTTATTAAACTATTTTTTATTTGATTGATTTAAGATGAATCTCCAAAGAGTTATGACGGTCACCGCCAAGACCGTTTTTTGAAACAAGGTCAACAAAAACAGCTATAACTTCGGGATTTTTTTTCTGAAATTTTTGTTACTTAAGTCAAAACATTGTATAAGATAACCGTATTATTATTTTTGTAAGAAAACATCGTTTAATAACAAAACAAAAATACTGAAAATTCTCATTTTTCGTGCCTCCAGGTACCCCTAACCCCTTAACATAAAATTACATATAATACAGAATGTAACAATATTATTTATTTACAGAATAAGATGAAATAATGAAAGATATTTGAAAAAAAAAATAAAAAGGTTAATTTGTGCAGATGGAGATTATTTGATTAGGTTGTGTGTTGTGAATATCTATTTCATTATAATTAAGTTAAAGTTAGAGGACATAAGTAGAATAGGCGAATGTAAGAGAGAATTAGATTTAAGAGTAGGATGATTGAAAAATTGTGAATGCCGAGATAGCATAGAAACTGAAGATAGTTGAAGAATAAGAGGACAGTCTATATTCTATAGTATTATTGCACGGTTTAAATAAGAACATAATAGTACAGATAAATCGACGTGTGGCAAGAGAACGTATACCAAATTCTTTAAATAAAGTGTTGTGGTCAAAGCCCACGTTCAGGGTAAATTTTATATGTTTTATAATAAAGATATTTTAGAATCTGAACTTTCTCTATCGCATCAGAGTTGTTGATCTGATGAGGATACCAAATGATCGAACCATATTTTAACTTTGAACGTACATTAGAATAGTACATGCAAAGGAGTGCATTATTTGAATTGAATTCTTTACAATTTCTCAGTATCATTCCTAAAGATTTATGTGCTCTATTACAAATATCAGCTAGATGAACAGCAAAAAAAACAAACCAGAATCAAATTATGTGTGATATTTTATTACATCTATCAATGGAAATGTTAGAGACTTTATATTCAAAATGTATTGGAACACACTTAGTGAAAAACTAATAATCTTGCACTTTAATATATTTAAATATAGTTTGTTATAGACACACCAAGCGTGGAAAGAGTCAAGTTGTGATTGCAATAACAAGCAGTCATCAATAAAATTTATTTTGAGATATAGTTTGAGATCGTCTGCAAATAATAAATGTGGATAGCTAATAATTTCACATATGTCATTAATAAAAATCATAAATAGTAGTGGACCAAGAATGGATCCCTGAGGAACACCTGAACTGACATTTTCTATATTGCTCAAGAATACATTATGATAGAAAAACTGTTTACGATTATAAAGATAACTCTTAAAAAAACAAATAAGTAAAGAATTAAGCCCAATCTTAGATAATTTAGTAAGAGGAATATGTTATATGATATGATTGTTGAAACTAGCAGTGAATAAAAATGAATTTTGGAAGTAGGTTCAGTGTATACTCTTCTTTTATTTATTATTCCGCGGTTTTTGAGAAAATATTAAAAATCAGCCCATCTTTTACACGATTTAGAATGATTTGAAACGTCGAGAATACACAAATTTAGCAATTTGCAGCAATTTATAAGGAATTATTAGTATCCTCGGCACTAATAGCATTAAATAACTTCAGATAGTAACGAATGCTCTTGATCACAGGCCTATAACATTTTTTGATGTTAGTTAATAAATTTCTTTACTTCCTACTAGCTACGAACTGTAAATTAAAATGCTCTCATCTATACAACTATCTTATAAAAAAAATTGTAATTAGCCTCGCACAAAATATTCGGTACTATTCGGTATTCGGCACATTTTTTATATTCGGTCGAATACCGAATATCCACATACCATACGGTCGAATACCTGTTAGTGAAAGACGCCTCGCCACTCAGCGAAAGTATATTGTTATTGTTTTAGGTAGGCTTGCAACCAATAGTGTATTTGTCAAAATACCGAATACCGAATATTCGGCACGTTTTTAGAGGCTAAACTTGTTTATATTAATGTAATTACAATTTGCAGTTGTTATATTACTAACGTGCTACATGTATATTCAATATTTATGCCTAGGCTTGTAAAAACTACTCGGTTACTCTTTCTTATT